TGCAGTACATGCGGTGTGCCTCTTTTGCCTTGGCCAGTTCCAGCGTGCATCACATCCGCTCCTGGCCTGATGTCCTGCCTGACTTCTCAACCCTGCATCTCCTGCTGCAAGTTCTGCTATCAACCTGCTGACACTCATTTTCCTCCTGTCCCTTGGTACCATCTTTTTCACCTTCAGTGGGGCCTGGGCTGGAGATACAAGAGAGGCCAACCTTGTCAATTTAGTCTCCTACCAGGTACATGACGAGGAGGGAGCAAGACTCTGCTCTTGTGAACATAGCTGAATTGAAATCAGGCTCAGGTAAGTATGGGGGGGTAGAACTGCCTGAAGATGTTTTTTTACTGTAATGCAGATAATGCATTAAAATAAAAAAACCTTCATCCTTTAGAACCATTTTAACCACTTGCTGACCACAGATAGCTGAATGATGACTTCACTGCGGCTGGCCAGTTCTGGGAGGGTGTCCTATGACGTCCTCCCAGAACACGCCCTCCCGCATGCCCCCAGCGATCTCCATGATCGCTGTGTTCTATGGACACAGCTGATCATGTGATGTGGTAAAAGGCCAATCACAGCGGCCTTTTACCACGTGATCAGCTGTGTCCAATGACACAGCAGATCACCGTTAAATGCAGTTGCCAGTTATCGGCTGCACTTTCCTCACGCTGTCACAGCGTGAGGAAAGTACTACCGATAACTGGCAATTGTCAGAGCAGGGATCGGCACTGATGATCAGTACCCAGCAGTGCCACCCACCAGAGCACAGCGGTGCCGCCAGTCAGTGCCCAGCAGTGCCACCCATCAGTCCCACCTATCAGTGCCCATCATTGTTGCATATCAGTGCCACCTCATCAGTGACGCCTATCAGTGCAGCCTCATCAACGCACATCAGTGGAGAAAAATTACCTAATTTTTATAATAGAAACAAAGAAACTTTTTTTTCTAAATTTTTGCTCTTTTTTTGTTTATAGCGCAAAAGATAAAACACCCAGCAGCGAGTACATACCACCAAAAGAGAGCTCTATTTGTGTGAAAAAAATAACAATTTCATATGGGTGCACTGTTGCATAACCGCACAATTGTCATTCAAAGTGCACCAGCGCTGAAAATTGGCCTGGGCAGAAAGGGGTATAAGGGCCCGGTAGGCAAGTGATTAAGTCACATTTAAGCTGCAATGGCCCTAACATGCATGGATGGTGGCCATTTTGGTTGTTTTGGCGCATGCTCTCTCTGCAGCGCCAGGTGAGAAGTGATGTCACACGTTAACTATATCTGGCGTGAGCATACTCTGAGGGGGGCATAAATGGTGAATCCAAATTGAGAGCGGCAGTTAAGACTCCGCTAACATTGGAGGGGACAACTATACTTTTTTCCTGTTTTTCAAGCCTTGATAAGGTTCCCTCTTGCAGGTTCACTTGGGTATTTTCTTGGGGTTTTTCATTTGTGGCTTACATCTCTGGTTCTTTTGTCATCTTCAGATATATTGGTGGCGGGCGCTTATGGAAATCTTGATCTGATGTCCTAGAGATAAAATAGCAGAATATATGTGCCAAGCCTTTTCATTTGGTCTGATTATGGACTCTTTGGTCTCCCTTGGTTGCCACCATATTAACATATAGCTTACTACATCTAGGTATGTTTATTAGCTTTAACAAATATACTTTTTTTTTTCTTTTTGCGCTCGGGTATGTAACAAAGAGGTGAGCTGCTAGCACAAATAAAGCCTGTGACACAAAGCTCCAAACAGCATACTTTCCATATGTCCATGTTCCTCCATGGAACAGAACCAAATCTAGATAGCCCATAGGAATGCTGAGCTACACTCTGTACATACGCTATATGGTCAATCTCGGCTTTGCTACATTGTGAGTGTTTAAGCTGTTTTTATTAATAAATGTTTACCAGGTTTTTACACTATGGAAGTGCTTCCATTTGTCTTTTGAGCGATATTGCAGCCCAAGGATTTACAGCAGAGGTGATCCATCGGCCAGTGGGCCTTGATTAACCCCACAAGTGCTGATTGACCATTTGTTTGATAGGCATGGGTCATGTCCTCTCTGGAAAGCAGCTGATTTCTGTTTTTTTTTTTTTTTTTTTCATGGGCGGATTAAAGTTGGGTTCTGAGCCTTTGGTGAGATCACTTGGAAGACTTAATTTACCTTATTGGAGCAATACATTTTTTCTTTTGCACTTGCACTGGACATTACTTAATATTACATTTTGGATTGCTACAGGGGCTTTTCTTTTCACATATTACTTTAGGTTTATCATATTTTTTTCAGCATTTGTCACTTTACTGTTAAAATTAAGCGCTGCACTGTATGATATAAAAAGTATATACAGTCCAGCCCAGGGGCGGACTGACAACTCATGGGGCCCCCGGGCAAATATGGGATCATGGGGCCCCTGTGTCCTTGCCCAAACTCAAAAAGCCTATGAAAAAGGTACCAGGGGCATCTCATGGGGCCCCCTACTGACCCCAGGCCCTTGGGCAGTGCCCGAGTTTCCAAATGGTCAGTCCGCCCCTGGCCCAGCCTGGGCTATAGTACTGTGGTTTCCTTTATAGTGCTGATATACTATCTGGTCTTCTCCTTGGGACCCCATGTGCCCCCCGCAATCCACATGCGGGGCACCTGTGTCTGACTGATCTGTGGAGTCCACTGGCATCCCCTCTGCCTTCTTAGCTAGCCTAGTACTCACCACATGAAGGATTTTTTGGAGTGATGAACATCTGCATACAACTGTATCAAATTCTATAACAGTGTTTAGTTTAACTGTGTACTTATGTATGTCAAATCATTTTTTATTTTCTATATGTATGTACTGTATATAAGCTTTTCTTCCTTTCCTTTAACATTGGCTTTTACCCTCCTGAGGAAGCAGGTAGAGATTCCTGTTAAACATGTTTAGGAATTAATGTTTGAAATGGACGTATCTCATTAAGAGTTAATTGCTCCTACATTCTTTGCACTGAATGTCTATTGCACCACATTGTGGACTTCTGCTGTATTGTAACAAGATAGTCTTCTTTTGAAATATATAAAGTACTGCGTAAATTGATGGCACTGTAGAAGTACCTGTAATATGTAATAACATAAAAATGTGCATACATACTAGGGCCAATTAAAGCAGACCATTGATGATTCCATTTTTTTTTTTCTACCAGCAGGTTGAAAAAAAACAAAAAAAAAAAACTGACCCGATCCCCTATCTACACACTCAATGTGCAAGCGGGAATCACACCCCCACCATTAGAATACAACGATCGATGCTGCCGACTATATTCTGCAGTGCTGATTGAGTGGCATTTTTTTGACAGGCTGGTCGTACGACAGTCAATTGATTTATTGACTTCTGTACAACCAGCCCGCCCATCTATGGATCAAAATATGGTTGGTCCCGCTGAACTCTGCAGATTTCAATCCATGTATGACCAGCTTTAGCCAATTAACCTACCAGCATGTTTTTGGAGCACAAAGCCAACACAAGCACAGGGAGAACATGCAAACTCCATGCAGATGGCGTCTGATAGTTCAGACCAGAGATCCCAATGCTCTCATACAGGCCCAGACTGGCCATAGGGCACAACGGGCATTTGCCCAATGGGCCGGGGCCACCTGAATAGGAGAAGCGACTGGGCGGCACATAGAAGACATGCATTTGTCGGTTCCTCTATGTGCCGCCCAGCCACCTCTCCTATCAATCTCTTGCATGCTGTCGGCTCCTGTATGTTCCCTCCGCCCCTCCTCCAGAGGCCTCCTCCCTCATCTCCTCCAGCGCCCCCTCCATCTCCAGCGGCCCCCCTCATCTCCTCCAGCAGCCCCTCCCTCATCTCTCTCTCCTGTTTTTTTTCTTACTCTCCTTCTATACAACTGTTTTTCTCTCTGTCTCCTTTTTCCCCTCCTTCTTTACGTCTCTTTCTTCCTCTCTGTCTCCTGTTTCTCTCCTTCCTTCTTTCCCTCCTTCTATACATCTCTTTTTCTTTCTCTCTCTGTCCCATTTCCCTCCCCTTTCTTTCCCTCCTTCCTTCTCTCTTTCTATACGCTTCTCTTTCTCACTCTGTCTCCTGTTTCTCTCCTTTCTTTACCTCTCTTTCCCTCCCTCTCTCTTGCCTATAAAAAAAATAGTAAAATTGTGAAAAATTAAATAAAAACCTGGCACTAGTGGCTGAATTACCAGGGTCACAAAGGTTGCTCTTGTGACCAGGCCCTGGCATTCCACCACTGGGCTCTGAGGTAAGGGTCCCCGGGCTTTCGGCTGCTCAGTCCAAAGTGCCCAGGCCTATTTTTTTTGCCCCAGTCCAGGCCTGCTGCCATGGCAGGAGTACTAACCACTAAGCTACAGTCCAAAGCATTTTACTAAAATGGCAACATTTCCCTGAACTCTCCTAATTCTTGCAGATATTTCAGGTAAATAGAAACTCTCCCTCGTTCTCTACTACAGTACCATCGTTCTAGAACCAGCTGAATCCTGTTCTCCCCTGCCTGTGGAATCTATCACAGAGCTACAACCTCCCTCTAGGGAACTACACTCCCAGAATGAATTATACCCAGACATACACATATAGCAACCCCCCTCCCTCCACACCTGTCACGTGTCTCAGCACCCCTCCCCCTCCCAGCTTGTCTTGCGTTCCAGATCTCGAAATGGCATTTAAGGCCAGCGATTGGTTGACATCTTTACGCTCTGATTGGGCGATAGAAAAGGCCCGGCTTCCGCAGCAAGAAACGTGATGCAATACATAGTAAGGAGTCTACGGTGCCCTAGTTATTGCCAGACTCAAGTCTCCAGAAAACCTTGGAGAGATAAGGTTTTTCCCCGACATGATATCAATCAAAAACAAAGATTAAAATAATGAGCAAACGTATTAGATTTTGTACGAGGTTATTAACACTTTACTTGTCATTAGTATGGATTCAGGCGGGATGGGCAGCGCGGCATGTGAGGGCCGATTGACTCGTAGCTGTGGGGTCCTCAGGGTGCCGGTGGACAGCTGAACCATGCCGACTGTCAGCGTGAAGAGAGATGTGCTCTACAAGGCCCTGGGCCGCTCCTATAGTAAGTGTCCGCACGCAGCACGGGGGGCGTGGGCCAGCCATGTGTGTCAGAAGCCGCGGATGGAGGCTGGTTACAGGACAGAGACCAGCTTACTCTATGAACCACTTACCTACCGGGCACCTATACCGCCTTCCTGCCCAGGCCAATTGTCAGCTTAGAGCGCTGTCGTACTTTGAATGACAATTGCGCGGTCATGCAACATTGTACTCATGATATTTTTATCATTTTTTTTCTCACAAATAGAGATTTCTTTTGGTGGTATTTATTCACCTCTGGGTGTTTTATTTTTTGCACTATAAACAAAAAAAGAGCAAAAAATTAAAAAAAAAAATGTTTCTTTGTTTCTATTATAAAATTTTGCAAACAGGTAATTTTTCTCCTTCACTGATGTGCGTTGATGAGGCGTCACTGATATGCAGCACTAATGAGGCGGCAGGGAAAGGTGGAACTGATAGGTGGCACAGGTGGGTGGAACTGCTGGGCACTGATCATCAGTGCCGATCCCCGCTCTGACAACTGCCGGTTCTCGGCAGTACTTACCTCACACTCTGACAGCATGAGGAAAGTGCAGCTGATAACCGGCAATTGCATTTCCCGGTGATCAGCGTGTCCTTGGACACGGCTGATCACATGGTAAAAAGCTGCTGTGATTGGCCTTTTACCACATCACGTGATCAGTGACCGCAGAGATCGGCAGGTGCGCACCCCTGGGGGCGTGCAGGAGGGCACGTTCTGGGAGGATGTCATATGACGGCCTCCCAGAACTGGCCGGCCGCAGTGCAGCTGTTGGCAACTGGTTACATTGGTTCTGAAGGGAAAACATTTTTTATCTTACAGTGGTTGTAAGCTTTTTTTTTTCAATTTTTACCTACAGGTCAGCCTGTAATAAAGCTTACCTGTAGGTACAGTGACTGTCTCCTAAATGTGCACCGTTTAGGAGATATTCTTGTGAGTGGCAGCTGGTGACGTCACCAATGCATGTTTCTGAAGGAACGGCATACTCCTGCAATTCCTTCAGAGCTGTGTGCTACGGGGTGATACCATCGCGGCTCGGCCAACCAAGAGGCTGAAGTCTTCATGCCCAGAAGGAAGACTGGGTGAAGATGGAAGCCTCCTCGGCAGTGAAGGCATTTAGGCCAATTCACACTACAAAAATGCACTCCGGATACGGTTTTGCTTACAGTTCAAACCACACGCAGTTCCGGTGCAGTTTTGATGCAGTTTGCCATGTTCCAGTACGGTTCTGTGCAGAAAAAATGCAGCATGTTCGTTTTTTTTTTTCTGCACCAGAAACTGCACTGGTGTGAACAGGGCCATTGGAATACATGGAAAACACTGCGCTTACATTTTTGATGCAGAAAAAAAGGATTAAGTGCAATGTTTTGGAGCTGAGCAAGACCCCTTCATCAGGCATGTGACGATAGTCTATAGTGGCTTTCTGGTCTCTTCCACGGGACATAGAGACATCAGTAGGAGCCATTGACTGCTGCTGTCAATCAGATCCTGAGAGCAGGGGCAGGGCTGAGCTGCTCTGTGTATGTCAATGGATCCACACAACAGGGTTTTGGAGTGAGCACATGTGTGCCCCCATAGGAAACAGATACATATGGTGGCACACAAAGAAGAGTAGGATCAGAGAGTTCAAGTGGGGGACCCTAGAAGAGCATGTAAGTATAAAATGTTTGTTACTTTAAAGTGTTACTAAACCAGGACCCTGCACTCACTTTATCTGGTCTCCCCGCAGTACACAGAACATGGAAATGCAATTATTTTAGTAAATATAAACTGCTAAATACATTTTCTCATCAGCAGTTAGAGCAGTCTTGTGACTTCTATCAGTGTTCAGCAGAGCACTGATTAAAGCTTGTAGGAGGAGTTTTCTCCCTGCTCTAGGAGGATGCAGAACCCCTGACCTCTTCTGAACAGTGCTGATTGGCACTGTGCTGATCACATGCACTCTCCCAAGAAAAAAAACCCAAAAAACATTTTTAGCAATGCACACTAAACTGAGCATGTGCCGAGTGTCTCCACACGATTTCTTAGGTGATAAGAAGGGAACACTGGAAGAAGGGGAGGATTAAAGAAGACAGGATCTGCAGATTTTTTACACAATTCTGAGGATTAATCCCATAGGTTCCACAGTGACTATATCAAGCATACTTTTCTGCATATAGAGACTGATTTTACTGTTGTGGGTTTACTAACACTTTAACTTAAAATAACTAAATAAATAAATGTTTACTGTCCTTTTAACCACCTCCAGCCCGCCATATAGTCCAATGACGGGCGCAAAGTGGTTTTCCCGTTCTGGGAGGACGTCATACGACATCCTCCCATTCTCACCGCACATGCGCGGCTCAGGTAGCGCGCGGCGATCGGCGGTGCGCTGTGTCCCTCGGACACAGCGGATCACCGATCCACGGAAAGAGCCGAAGAGGTCGGCTCGGTCATGTGATCAGCTGTGTGCAATCACAGCTGATGACATGTAAACAGGGAAATGCCGGTTATCGGTATTTCTCTCCTCACGAGCTGTCATGCTGACAGCTCGAGAGGAGAGCCGGTAATCGGCATTCCGCAGAGGGGACGTACACAGATCATCAGAGCACTGATGATCAGTGTGCCCTGATGATCAGTGTGGCCCCAGAAGTGCCACCTGTCAGTGTCCATCAGTGCCACGTGCCAGTGCCCATCAGTGCTACATCAATGTCACATACAGTTGCAAGAAAAAGTATGTGAACCCCTTGGGATTACGTGGAGTTTTGCATGAATTGGGCATAAAATGTGCTCTGAACGTCATCTAAGTCACAACAATAGAAAAACACAGTCTGCTGAACATAATACTACACAAACATTAGATGTTGCCATGGTTTAATTGCACATGACATGTAAACGTTCACAGTGCAGGGAGGAAAAAGTATGTGAACCTTAGGACTTAATAACTGGTTGACCCTCCTTTGGCAGCAATAACCTCAACCAAATGTTTCCTGTAGTTGCAGATCAGACCTGCACAACGATCTGGAGTAATTTTGGACCACTCCTCTTCACAAAACTGTTTCAGTGTAGCAATATTCTTGGGATGTCTGGTGTGAATCGCTCTCTTAAGGTCATGCCACAGCATTTCAATCGGGTTGAGGTCAGGACTCTGACTGGGCCACTCCAGAAGGCGTATTCTGTGCTGTTGCAGCCATTGTTTTGTTGAATTACTTGTATGCTTTGGGTCATTGTCCTGTTGCATCACCCATCCTCTGCGGAGCTTCAGTTGGCAGACAGATGATTGTACGTTTTCCTGCAAAATGTCTTGATAAACTCTGGAATTCATTTTCCCATCAATGACAACAATCCGTCCACGCCCTGAGGCAGCAAAGCAGCCCCAAACCATGATGCTCCCTCCGCCATGTTTTACAGTGGGGATGAGGTTTTGATGTTGGTGTGCTGTGCCTTTTTTTCTCCACACATAGTGTTGTGTGTTCTTCCCAAACAACTCAATCTTGGTTTCATCTGTCCACAGTATATTTTGCCAGTAGTGCTGTGGAACATCCAGGTGCTCTTTTGCAAACTTCAAACGTGCTGCAATATTCTTTTTGGACAGCAATGGCTTCCTCCGTGGTGTCCTCCCATGTACTCCATTCTTGTTTAATGTTCTCCTTATTGTAGATGTGTCAACAAAAATGTTAGCATGTGCCAGAGATTTCTGTAGGTCTTTAGCTGACACTCTGGGATTCTTCTTTACCTCATGCAGCATTCTGCGCTGTGCTCTTGCAGTCATTTTTAGAGGACGACCACGCCTAGAGAGAGTAGCAACAATGCTAAACTTTCTCCATTTGTAGACAGTCTGTCTTACCGCGGACACATGAACATCAAGGCTTTTGGAGATACTTTTGTAACCCTTTCCAGCTTCACGCAAGTCAACAATTCTTGATCGTAGGTCTTCTGAGAGCTCTTTTCTGTGAGGCATGGTTCACATCAGACAGTGCTTCTTGAAACCAGTAAACCCAAAACAGGTGTGTGTTTTTTAAGGGCAGGACAGCTGTCAGCAACACATTCAATATCATCCCACTGATTGGAGTCAAGGTTGGCTCACTCCTGGCTCCAATTAGCTCTGGGAGAAGTCATTAAGCTAGGGCCTCACATACGTTTTCCTCCCTGCACTGTGAATGTTTACATGTTATGTGCAATTAAACCATGGCAACATCTAATGTCTGTGTAGTATTATGTTCAGCAGACTGTGTTCTTCTATTGTTGTGACTTAGATGACATTCAGAGCACATTTTATGCCCAATTCATGTAAAACTCCACGTAATCCCAAGGGGTTCACATACTTTTTCTTGCAACTGTATCAGTGCCTACCAGTGCACATCAATGCCACATATCAGTGCCCATCTGAGCTGCTTTTCAGTGTCACCCATCAGTGCCACCAATCAGTGCCGCCTAACAGTGCCAGTCAGTGCCATATCAGTGCTGCCTTTCAGTGATGCCTGTCAATGCCCATCAGTGCCACCTACCAGTGCCTCCTCATCAGTGCCACCTATCAGTGTCCATCAGTACAGCCTATCAGTGCCCATCACTGCAGCCTCATTAGCGCACATCAGTGAAGGAGAAAAATCACTTATTTACAAAATTTTATAACAAAAACTAAGAAAAAACTTTTTTTTTTTTTTTTTCAAAATATTCAGTGGTTTTAGGTTTGTTTAAGAAAAAATAAAAAAAAACCCAGAAGTGATTAAATACCACCAAAATAAAGCTCAATCTGTCACAAAAAAAATGAGAAAAATTTCATATGGGTACAGTGTTGCATGACTGCTCAATTGTCATTCTGAGTGTGACAGCGCTGAGTGCTGGAAATTGGCCTGGGCAGGAAGGGGGTATAAGTGCCCTGTAGGCGAGTGGTTAAACATAGGCAAGTGATGGCACTCTGCTGGAACAGGTATGCGAAGTTATCCTTTAGATTGTAAGCTCTAACAAGCAGGGCCCTCTGATTCTCCATGCATGGAGTTGTATTGTAACTGTACTGTCTGCTCTTATGATGTAAAGCGCTGCACAAACTGTTGGTGCTTTATAAATCCTGTATAATAATAATAGCAGCTTCCATCTGAGGCTTCACATACAGGAATGTGGGTGTGTGACAGAATCCCTTCCCCACTCCCCTGATCTGTCAGCAGAGGCCTGAAATATCCCTGGTGTAGTGGGACCTGTCAAACTTCCCCTTGACCTTCACTTTACAACATTGGTCACCGATCATGCATTACCTTTGTCTATTTTTAATACAAGTGATTTTTTTTTTTTTTACTGATCTAAATTCAGCCCATTGTTTTTAATGGGCATGTACTAGGTGTGTTATCTTGCAGTATGTGTAGATCAGTTAAAAAAAAAATCTGTGCTGCTGGACAGTTTTCTTGCATGTATGACATATCCCAAGAAAAGCTAGCAAAAATTTTTTACGCATATGATGCTTTGTGAATGCGCTATCATCACTGTTCTAGAGTTGCATTTGTCATTTTCAGCTCCAGGAGTTTGGTGCTTATATAGTAGTATATGTGTGAAATGTAAATAAGTCACCAACATCCATGCATGAGACACTCATCATTAGAAGTAATTTATTTTTTATAAAGCAAATATGTTTATTCCCAGAGTTCCACATTGAGTGGATCTCACTTTTGCTGCACTTTGCCCTCTAAAACTAAACAGCATTGGGGTCTACAGACATTTTAAAGTAGTATCAAAACCCTCAGTGTTTTTTAGCTTAACACATTGGGCACAATAAAATCAACATTCCCCAGCTCTTTTTTTAATTTCTGTCCCAGCACTTGCAGTTTACAACTTTCAATGCTGCTGATTACTGCTGTCCCAGTGCTGCTTCCCTGAACTTCCAGTCTTCACAGGAAAGAGTTAACAGTGGACAGTGGAGCCTCAAGCCAGTCTGTTAAGTTGGATGAAGCGGAGGAGCAGGGGAGTGTCTTGCCATCCTAGGCTATGGGGCTGTGTGTTTCTGTTGATGAACACAGTGTAGGGAGGCACTGCATGCACGGATGTCTCTCTTCATAGGATGCTGTAATATAAAGGAGCCAACCTGAAACAGGACATCTGGGGCAGTAGTCATGGCTTCAACTTGAATAGGACTTAAATGATGATTAGGCAATACAAGATGAAAAAGCTGTATACTCAGTAAGTGATTCAATCAGCTGAGAAAGTGCTCAAAAACTGAGGGTTTAATTTCAATTGAACCACTTCCGGACGTCGCTGGACTTTCAATTGTTGTACCAGAGTGCTGCCTGCAGCTGCACGCATCACCTTGGTACTATTTTTTAGAGGTGGCTGTCGACTGTCTTGTGCAAGAAATCCGAGCGGCTAGCTAACCGCTCGATTGCTTGTACAAGCAGCGGGAGAGGACTTCCCTCCCTCCTTCTTTTGCGGCTCTCTCGGGATCTCCCATTATTATTATACAGGATTTATATAGCGCCAACAGTTTGCTCAGCGCTTCACAAAATAACGGGAGACAATACAGCAACAATACAGTTCAATACAAGAGGGATAGGAGGGCCCTGCTCCTTGGAGCTTACAATCTAAGAGGATTCCCACTGGAATCAGTGAGTAGCTCTCCTTTATTGTAAACCGGAAGCAATGACCTGACATCACTTCTAGTTTATTCGGAAACTTTTGGCACCATTTTAAAAAGTCTTTGTGTTTTGAATGCTTTCAGGTGCAGAGGTGGGATTTGGGGTCCTATATGGAAATATAAAATATCCCAGATGCCTGCATAAAGAATACCTATCACGTGTCTATTGCTGTCATAGGGGATATTTATATTCTTTGTGACAGTAGTGTAAGTGATTAACTTTTTTTTTTACAATATCATTTAAAAAACATTTTTTTTAAGTGCCCCCTTGCTCACGCGCAGACACGTCTGTCCTGCATGCACGCATTATTTTCTAGGACCTCTGCTTTAAAAAAATATATAATGTTTAGGGGTTCTATGACATTTTATAAAAAAAAATAGAGATTTTAAAATGTAAACAAAATGTGCCAGATATGGCTTGGGGCTGAAGTGGTTAAAGTAGAACGTCACCTTATAATTACCCAGTGTACAGTTACCAGCCATGTACTATACTTACCTTCATAAATCTATTACACTATGCTTCATTTCTGTTTGTCTTCAAGCTGCTGCCTAATATACCTGATACCAGGGAATTCTTGGTGACATTCAGCCACCCCCTCCCCCCACACACACTCTTCATACCCTTAGATTGACAGGATAAGGAAGTGTGTTCACATAGTTTCCCATTCAGACTTTGCAAAGGGGTTCTGTTATTGGTGAGCGTTCCTTTCAGACAGAGTCTATGATGTCATAAGCCCACCTGCTGCTTTACGAGTGCAAAGCAAATGTGACTGCGGACTTAAATGCATCATTCTGTAAAAGAAAGGTAAGTGCACAAACCTATACTTAGAATGTGTGGCTGTGTTACTTATCTTGCCTTCATACATGGATGCTTGTCATTTGGTTTGTTTATCGTGGCACTGTATTTCTACTTAGTATGATTTCATTTCATAGTTCAGCTCTCTGGCCAGATTGTAATAAACAAAGCTAACTAAACTAATAAAATTATCAATTTAATAGGAAAAACCTCATCACTTTGTTTTCTATGTTTTGCTTTAACAGCTGATGAAGAGTTTGATGAGCTGTGCTTTGAGTTTGGCCTTGAATTAGATGAAATTGTAAGTATTATTTTGAACTCTGTACTTTTGGTAACAACATCTGAAAATTGGGCTTCTCTCTTAAGTCAAATATTGGAAAAAGTATTGTTAGAAATGATAAGGCCTCTTTCATACTGGTGGCAAACTTTACCGTCCTCTGTAAAGGGATTCATGGTAGACTGATTTTCAGATGGTGGTTAACAGCAAATTTACAGGCATTTAAAAGGCTGCCACTTCCTACACACCTGTTTGATCACTCCTCAGGGTTTTTTTCTGTATCTCAATGGGGATACATTGAACTACCATAGCCATATTGTATGCAGTTGCAGTAATGCCCCAATGACTTCAATGGAGAAGTTTGATAGGTGGTGTGACGTGTCAAATTCATAATGCCAAATTAATATTGCCGCACTGCGAAGCATAGCGGCAGTGGCAATATGTACTTGCCTCTCAAGTTGCCATGTAAACTGAAAGGTGGACAGTTAAAAACAAAGGTCAACTGCCTATTTTTTTAACACCCCCCCCCCCAGTGGTGTGAACGTACCCCCAACAGAACAAGAACTCCTATCTTCCTGATTACCCTCGAAAAACCTCTGGAATTTTTCTTGAGCTGCTCCCTTCCTTTCAAGTTACCATCAGGCCTTGCCATTAATCTTCAAATGCTCCTTTCTAATTATTTTTTCAGAAATACAATTGTGATTTACAACCATTTCTCCCCCCCCCCCTTTATTCTTTTAGTACACACCTCACACACTACCACCACTGCCAGATCTCCCTTACTTCTTGTACAGTATCTATCTAACTATCTGTCATTTTAGACACAATATCTTTCTTTTTAGAGGGGGGATCTCATTTCTAGTGCATGAATGCAAAATCCCCTGTGCAGCAATATGGAAGATGTGTTCACTGCATATATATTATTAATAATAATAATAAAGTCAACAAGCCATGTAACCTTGGAAATCTAGGAAAACTGAAAATAATTTATTGAAGCCTTTTGACCAAACAAAATCTCGAAATCCAAAACATCCAGTGCGTTGTAAATTAGAAATGTTGATGTAATTTATTACTGTTTCAGACATCAGAACGAGAAATCATCAGTAAAGAAAAAGGGGATGGAAAAGCTGATGGAGCCTCAGATGTTATCCTTTTTAAGATTGACGTGCCCGCCAACCGCTATGATCTCCTGTGCCTTGAAGGCCTGGTGCGAGGGCTGCAGGTCTTTAAAGAAAGGTAATACCGGAGGTGTACACTTAGATCTAGGAAACCCAGTAACCTTACTAAATGGAAGAGCAGTCCTGACTACTGGTGTCATTTATGGACTAATACTCAAGTGTTACTGCAGTAAACAATTTCCAGTTTATGTGCAGATGTTTGGTAATAATGTATACTGTTTTTTTTACCCTTTGCAGGGTAGATGCCCCTAGATATAAAAGGATCATACCGCCTGATAACCAACTGCAACGACTTTTTATTACAGAGGAGGTGAGGTTAGCAAATGATTTGAAATGTCTATTTAAATGCTTTCCATAGTGGTTTAATAAACCAAACTGAAGCTCACTTGCCCATGTGCCTTTGTGATCTCTATGAATTGAATTTTTTATCATCAGTAGAACCTGAAATGTGACAAGGAAGTGGGGATCTATATAAAGACTAGAGAAAATGGCGGCCTAAAAACTGACCCTGTTCCATATTGCTTTATACTTAGATTATCCAAGCACATTATGGGAGAATAAGGGGTAAATCTGGCTATTATGAACAAGATGCATAGTTTCTCCTATTAATGTGTTTGAGAGAGGACATGTCGTATCTTCCATAGCCATTAATTTAGATTCAGACTTTAATGAATTGGACCCTGAGTTTTCACTCTGAATGTCCATTTCAAATACCAGATTATTGGGGAAACGTATTATTACTATTATTTAGGAATTATATAGCCAACTGTTAACTTTACAAAATGAAGGCAGACATTAGTTATAATACAATTTCGGTCCAAGATGAATCAGAGGGCCCTGCTCGTTAGAGCTTGCAATCCAAGAGGGAGGACGAAGTTGTAGGTAATGCCTTTGGGGTGGTGGAGCTGGTGGAGAAAGTAAAAAACAGTGTAATAGTTGGACGCAGGATAGGCTTCTTTAAAGAGGAGGGTTTTCAGGGATCGCCTAATGATGGATAGATTAGGAGATAGTCAGACTTATTAGGGTAAGAAGTTCCATAGGATGGGAAAGGCTCAGGAGAAGTCCTGGAGGCAAGTATGGGACCAGATTAGTGATGTAGCTGGGGGCAGAGTTGTGGATGGCTTTGTAAGTTGTTGTTAGTATTTTGACATTTTTTGTTGGGTGAAAGACAAAAGCCAATGGAGAGACTGGCAGAGAGGGGTAGCAGACACTGAACGGTTGGTAAGGTAGACTTATTGCCCCATTATGGATGCAATGTCTTCTGTTAAGGAAAATTGAGAGTCGGCTCTAGTGGATAATCAGTGGAATAAAATGTGCTGCTGCAGGCACCAGTTAGCGCATCTTTGCTATTTTCCATGCTTCATTATTTGGCATATTCTAATTGTGGGTTGTATGTTAATATAGCTTTGCCATTGGTTTGTGAACGTTTTGCATTTTGACTGTGTACATAGATGCATCTGTACAGTGTTCAGCTAAATGTTTAGTTTCACAGTTTTTCTTTAACTTCACTCACATTAATAAATACTATTACCTGAATATAACCTAATGTAATAGTTATTTAAAAAGTTGAATATATTCATAATCCTTTCATATTTTATGTATTAGACTGCTGCAGTACGTCCCTATGCAGTGGCTGCTGTTCTTCGCAACATAACCTTCACTCAGGACCGATATGAGAACTTCATTGATCTGCAAGATAAGCTTCACCAGAACATATGCAGGTAGCCTGCTTTTTCACTTGCTTACCTCCGTCCTCTCTGAGTCATTACAATGGATGTAAATGTCATAGCAACACCATGTACAGACTGAATATTATGAACATCTCTTATGTTATTTTGTGTAATCTTATAAGAAGTATTTGTTCTTAACAGATCTTGTTTTAAATAGTTTTCTGTTAATCATATAGTCTTGGCATCCTTTTCCATCAGTTACACATACTTGTTTGCTGCTTAACCACCTTAATACAGGGCACTTTTACCTCCTTCCTTCCCAGACCAATTTTTAGCTTTCAGCGCACTCTCACACTTTGAATGATAATTACTCAGTAATGCAACACTGTACCCAAATGAAATTTTTGTCTTTTTTTCACACAAGTAGAGCTTTCTTTTGGTGGTATTTAATTAGCACTGGTTTTTTTTTATTTTTTGTGCTGTAAATTAATAAAGACCAAACATTTTGAAAAAAAAAAAACATTTTTCTTCGTTTCTGTTATAAAAGTGTGCAAATAAGTAATTTTTCTTCATAAATATGGGTCAAAATGTATACTGCTATGTTGTTTTGGTAAAAATAATCCCAATCGGTGTGTATTATTTGGTCTGTGTGAAAGTTATAGAGTCTACAAGCTATGGTACCAATCATTAAAAATTGAACACACCTGATCAAACCTGATGTACTGACGGCCTTTCTAATTTCTTGAGACCCTAACATGCCAGAACAGTACAAATACCCCCAAATGACCCCTTTTTGGAAAGTAGACATTCTAAGGTATTTAGTAAGATGCATGGTGAGTTTTTGGAGCCTGTAATTTTTTTCCCACAATTCTTTGGAGAATTAAGAAAGTAAATAAAATTTGTTTTTTCTCACACAACTGGTATATTAACAGCTTATTCCTTTCACTCAGCATATGCATACTCTCAGCTTCCCCCCAAAATACATTCTGCTGCTCCTGAGTATGGGGATACCACATGTGTAAGACTTTTCCACAGCCTGGCCCCATAGAGAGGCCCAACATCCAAGTAGTACCTACAGGCGTTCTGGAGGCATAAATTACACCTCATTTCCTGACTACCTATCACAATTTTGAAGGCCCTGGAGCACCAGGACAATGGAATTACCCACATTTTGGAAATCAAACATCCCAATGTATATTCTACGAGGCATAATGTGTCTTTTTTACATATTTTTTTCAACGTGTTTTTAGAAAAAGGTGGAAAGAACACAATTGTTTTTTTTTTTTTACACAAAGTTGTATATTTATTAGATATTTCTAACACATAGCATGTACATATCAAGAATTACACCCTAAAAATACATTCTGCTGAGCAAAGGGTAAACAAAAAAATTACCTGTGATTTTAGTAGTGCAGTTGTCCACAGAGGAGAGCATTGGCCCAGGCAGCAAGCAGGGACATGGTCAGCGACAGCAAAAGGAATCGCCCAGGCAGCAGGAAGGAATACTGTCCATAGTCACTACAGGCAGCAGGAAAAGATATTGCCAGCACAGCCAAAGCATTGGTCCAGGAAGCAGGAAGACGTGGTCAGCAACAGCCAAATGAGTTGTCCAGGCAGACACATGGTCCGCACAGCCAAAATATCAGTCCTGGTAGTAGGCAGGAACACAGTCCATAGTACAGGCAGCAGGCAGAGGTGTGGTCAGTTATGCAGCAGGCAGAGGCATGATGGCAGTAAGTCAGCAGCAGGCAGAAATATCAGGCTTAGGGCCTTGGTCAGGTAAGACCTGGGCAAGGGTAGAGGCTTAGTCCCACCCAATCTCTTCGAAGCCTCCGAACTGTCAGACCCTTTTCCGGGAATTACAAAACCTAGAGGCAACGTTAGGAAAATCTATTCTGGAGCCCCTCACATACATGAGACCCCTGTGTTGTCTTGAATCCAACTAATAGAGTCGCAGGGCATAAAATGCGTTCAGGAGTCAGGCAAAAAGCATGGTCGATTAACTGGCCGAGGTCAATTCACGTGGAAGGCAGAAATGTGGTTGATAGTTCAAGCAGCAGGCAGAGGCATCGAATAAACAGTCCAAGGTCAGTCCAGGCAGACTGTGTGATAGATCCGGAAGTACTCTTCAATGCAGAGTCCTGGCTGGGAAGAACATTGGGGATAGTAGTACTGGGTGTCACTTCGAATTTGGTTACTGGAACATACATAAAATTTTTTGGGGGGTTGTGGCCTGTGTGGGTAAGAGGGAGGATATCGGGGAAATGCCTCTCATGGAGTCTAGTCCATGAATCAGAGCGAACTTGTTCAGGGGCATGGCCATGCGGATAGAGAAGGGCTGTAACAATATCCTCTTGATACTTCAGGTAGGTTAGGGATCTTTGTGTGTACTTAAAAAAGATGACACAGGAATCGTACAGGTATAAATGAAACAAGTAGATGGCAACCTTTTTATACCAATAGAGTGATCTCTTGGTGGCTAAGTACGGCTGTAACTTCTGGTCATTCATATCCACCCCCCGACCCCCCATGAACTGGTTATAGTCATTTATGCATTTTGCCCTCTGGACGCCGAGACCATCATGAATGGAGAAAAGGATATAGACATCTCTTTTCTCTTTCCACTTTAGAGCTAGGATCTCTTCATTCTGCAAACTGGCTGTTTCACTCCGTTTTAATTTTGTAGTGACCAATCGTTGTGGGAATCCTTGCGGTTAGCTCGTGCTGTCCCACAGGCCACAGTTTTCTTCAAATAGAGATGGTGGAATAATGGGAAACTTGTGTAAAAATTATCTACATTCAAATGGTAACCCTTCTCAAACAGCGGTTCTATAAGCTGCCAAACAGTTTTGCCACTTATCCCCATATAGGTAGGGCATCCAGGGAAGTTTGGCTGGCTGTCCTTTCCCTCATAAATCTTGGAAGTTGTAGGTATATCCCATGGCCCTGTCACATGCCTTGTAGAATGTTACTCCATATTTGGCCCGTTTGATGCCAAGCCTTCCAGTAAAGTGGACTAGGGATTCATCCACACAAATAACACTTTAAAAACCTGCACTGAGAGGAGTATGGGGATTGCTACTGTTTTCCCCAATTTCTACATCTACAAGTTTCCTAGGTCTGCTTTCGATACTTGGAGTTACCTACCTAGAATAAGCATGGAAGTTAGAAAGCCGAAGTAAATTCTGAACTTCTAATCTGCATACTTATTTTACGCCAGTGGCTCAGAAGGTATTGAAGCCAGTGGATCACCATGAAACAATTAAACTAAGATTTTTGTATGGAAGGGCCAGTGATGGAATCTTTCATGTCAGTACAGGTTTCCTTTTAAATTAAGAAAAACATAAGGTGGAACTCCAGGGTGCAGAAAATAATTTGGGGAATAGCACAAGTGAAATGAGTTACCTCTTATAAGGTGCTGAATCCTTGGATGATGCTGTTTACTCTTCAAATCCAATCTTCATTGACTGAAGATATTACACATAAAGCTCTTCTTCTGGTGCTGCAGCTGATAGTTCTTGCTCTCACACAGTGCTGAGATTGTGCTCTGTAGTTGCCCCTCCTCTCCCCTCATCCATTCTCAAAAAGCATTGTTTTCTCTTTACTGAATACAAGGTGCTTTTGTGAATGGACAAGGGCAGAAGAGGGGCAGGTAAATTACAGGAACTCCCCTTATGAAACGACAAAAGGTGCAGGTAAATTACAGGATGTATCTTTATTCAATTACAGTCAGCCTTGTAGTTTGTGAAAGGAATATGAGTTTTTTTGTAACGGGAGAGGAAGGGGCAGTTACACAACAGGATCCATGCACTGTATGAGAGTCGAAACCATCAGTAGCAGTTCTGAAAGATGGGTGCTAGTTTCTGGCATCAGGGAAGATAGGACTTGTACAATACACTACAGCCATCTGATCATAGATACTCCCCCACAGCTATTACCTTTCGTACCACCTCCCTTTCCCTTCAGAATGTATTTTCTAAGAGCAGGGGGACCTCCATAATACTTCAGTTTTAAACTATATTGTAATTGTACTGTCTCCTTCTACTTAGTCAGTCGCACCGATTAGAAAAATAGTTCCTGCACTACTTTTGCCGATTTGGGGTGTGACTTGCATACACATCACTTGAAATTGCACGATTTCAAAGTCGGATCTAGTGTGAACCAGGGCTTAGTGGTAACTTAATTTACTTGTTTTACTAAATAAAAAAAGTTTTGCGTCAAAGTTTTAAAGTAAATGTTAAAAAATAACATATCATATCTATCAACTCACACTGAATTGCTGCATTTTGTTTTTCTCCTCTTCTCATTTTTAATTTTTAAAGCAAATCTGTCAGTGTCAGGCTTATTCAAAAAGCACAGTAGTTGACAGCAACCAGAGTTCATTTTTTTTAGGTTGCAGCAAATTGCTCTTTGGCTTTCCTCTTTCCAAATCTTTAACCACTTCCTGTCCGGACACTTTTACCCCCTTCCTGTCCAGGGCAATTTTCAGCTTTCAGTGCTATCACACTTTGAATGACAATTGCGCGGTCATGCAATACTTACCCATATGAATTTTTTACCATTTTTTTTAGACAGATAAAGCTTTATTTTGGTAGTATTTATTCACCGCTGGGATTTTTATTTTTTTTACTATGTAAATGAAAAAGTCCAAAAATTTTGAAAAAAAAGTGTTTTTTTTTGCAAATAAATAATATTTCATCCTAAATCTTGGAAAAAATTTATTCCGTTATTTTTTTAATAAAAAAAAAAATCCAAATTAGTTTATAACCAAACATTATAATTTTTAAACATTTTTTTTTACATTTTTATTTTATTTTTTTTATATTATTTTTTATTTTTATTTTTTATTTTTACATACTGTCACCCTAGCAGTACAGTGTCACCATGGTGACACTGTACTACTTGTGGGGGGTGATGAAGATTTTTTTTTTTTTTTTTTTTTTACACTGATTGCTTTTACACCCATATAGGATGTAAAAGCAATCATTTCTCTTTCTCTCTGTGTGCATTCTTGCAGTCATTGAGAAATACTGAGTGAGCTGTGATTGGTCACAGCTTGTCACATGGTACAAGGCTGTTGTGAATAGCCTTGTACCATGTGACCTCTGTGATCATTCACAGATTTCACACGTAGTAAGCAATGATGTCACAAGTGACATCTTGCTTACTACTTTGCATGTGATCACTGATTTGCCAATCAGTGATCACATGACCGGGACCTCGTACAGAGGTCCCGTCCGACGATCGGTGTTTCACTGTGTCCGGAGGACACAGCGGACACCGGATCGCGGTGGTGCGCGCTCCTAGGGAGCGCGCACAGCTAGAAAAGGCGGGTGCCGTTTAGGAACGGCAACCCGACCTTGGACTGCCACCGCCCTGCCGTTTATAAACAGCAGGCGGACGGCAAGAGGTTAATTGGTAAGATGGTCGTACTATTTACATGTTTGTTTCTTTTTAACAGGAGAAGGACACTGGTCGCAATTGGAACTCATGATCTAGACACAATAAAGGGTCCTTTTATCTACACTGCTAGGCCACCAACAAGTATCAAATTCAGACCACTGAACCAAAATAAAGAGTACACTGCTCCTGAGGTTATGGAATTGTACAGGGTGAGTAAAATCTTTCTAATTTTGGGGGATATTTTACATATACTGTATGAATTGATAACTCTATCTAAAGCGTATCTTTGCTGTGGTTTGTCCTCAATGGGCTAAGTATCACTAACTTGCTTCTTATAACCAATGAGGAATGACAAATAGTCTCTCCATCTGTTATCTGTAATTTTTCTTGCTGACTTTTATAAGGAAAACAGTGTTTTTAATCTGCTAAATAGGCAATTTTCCCAGGGGCATACTGTATACAGGATTACACTCCTTGGAAGCATAGAAATATTTAAAGCAGAACTTTACAATTTTGTAGTGGGTGGGCTATTGTCATAATGTGCAAACGCGGACTGTATACTTTCTTTTTAAAATGCTCTCCTTAAGCTATGCAGCATCTGGCATTCCCTTTGTCGCTCCGTCACTGTTCCAGCTGACAACTTTTGCTACTCTTCATCTTCTGGGTCCAGCTTCTGGTATGTTTGCGGTTAGGCAGCCTTTGATGGTGTAACTCCTAAACATGCACAGAATATACCCAGTAGTACATAGCCCAGTGTATGTGCCACAGGCTGTATATGCTAAATTAAAAAAAAAACTGTTAGAAGCAAGGCTTTGCATGTTTCTTCTGCCAAAAATATTCTACTGTCTAGTTTTATTATTCTACTTTAGTTTTGCTTTAAAAGCTAAATTTGTCCTTTTTAACGCTTTTGCTGCCAGGCACTGCGCTCCATTTTTAAACTCAGGGGGCCAGACCATTTGTGCAGTTTTTCCATTGCTTTTTTATTTTTCCATTACAGATTTTAGAGTTTGTAAAAGTTCCCCCAAACCATTTATTTTCTAAAAGCACATGATCAGTAGAATAAAAAGAAGGTGCTACTGATTTTTATGGCCCCGCGATATAAACAATATGTTCGCTAAAAATGCACTAAAATCATTATTAGCAGATACAAAGCAAATTTTACAAAGTTCCCGCTAAATTCCTACTAAATATAAAATCTTAACCTGTATTGAGTTAATAAATAAACATTTTTCAATTTTAAATTGCTTCTTTTTGCAAAATGGTGAAAATCAAACATACACAAAAATGTAAATAGTCACATCTCTCTAAAAATCTAGAGGTTTTCATTTACAGCTTTCAGAGTTAGTAAAACCATATATTTTGTAAAAGAACACGACCAGTAGGATAAAAAGAAAGTGCTGCTGATTTCTTTTAGGCCCCACAAATTGCTATTTAAAAAAAAACAAAAAACACTAAAATCCTTATTTGCACACAACACTACAACGTACTCTACAAAATTCCTGCTAAATTGATGGGGTCTACTAAAGCGTACGTCCATGGAGAGCCGTGTTTACCTGCACTGGGATGCACAGGTGTTTTGTGTATCCCTGTTCAGGCAGTCCTATTCACATCAACTGGGACACAGCAGCTGCATGGACAGATCTAACATCTGTGCGGGTGTATGTCCATGGCCCCATACGCAAACGGTGTGAGTTCAGTGACATACACCCACATGGATGTCAAGTTGGGAGCAGAGGCTGTCTTGAGACAGCCGCTGCACCTGTATTGATATGGATAGGACTGCCTGCACAGGAATGCATGGAACACCTGTGCAATTCAGTGCAGCTGTCAGTCAGCGATCAGTATCCTTTCAGGAAAGGAAGGGGGCTAGTAACACGTTTACCAGCCCCCCCCCCCCCCCGCTTTCTGGAAACACGTTTACCAGCACCCTCTGCTCTCCACGCTGACAGCAGGCAGGGTAATGAAGAGTTAGAATGGGGTAGGGGCATTTTAGTTATCGACATAGGCAGATGGAGGGGCGGGAGACATGGGGCAGAGAAGCGGCGACGGGGAGGTGGGGGGGGGGGGGGGGTATGTCACATAGGTAAGTAGCTCTGATCAAAGCTGTTAGTTTTTTTTCAGCAGTGTCTGTTGAACAATTCTACCATAAGTTCATGGTCACTGTGCGGTGTACAAATCTGGCCAGGTAGAAGCAGTGCTGTAGGTCCGTATGCCGTACGGACCTGGCAGCGAAAGGGTTAAAGAAAATTACTATGATGTCAAGAGGCCCCAATAGTGTAAAAATACCCTCCTGCTGTTTCATCAGTGGCTGAGCTCAGCACTGCAACAACAGGGGAAGGGGGTGCATATTGCATTTGTTCCTGTGACACTTGGGGGTACTTTTTTGTCAGAATGTGGCAGATCTGTCATGGTAGTATTTTTGCCAGTCTTGGGGAAAATAGAGGTTGGCCTACAGGTAATGTCATGTAAACTAAGCTCCATTTTTCTAAGCTGGGCCATGTTTGTTTGACAATACAGTCATTTATTTTTAACGGTGAACATAGCCTTTAGGCTGAAGAATTTTGCTTCTCCCCAGTCTTAATTTTTAAGTCCTGCTAGGTAGTAAAGGCCTCCATTTTGTATTCCACTACTAAAAGTGGAAATGTCAGGCCTAGACAAGTATGTGGTATCGCTAAAGAGATCCTTTGTTTTAGAATTGTCTACACCTGCCCTACAAAATGGTAAATAGGTTAGCAGATATAAATGTTTAATGGGTAAGCCTGCACAGCTATATTAAGATTACATAAGACCAGCGGGGACTGGTTCTCTTAAATATGTACAATACAGGATTTGTTGCTTGAAAAACACATTTGTTTCCTTTCATGGTTTGGTTGTGCACTATTTATTACACAGAGTGTTTTTGCTTTTTTTTTTTTTAATTTCTTTGTTCCTATTCATTATAGAAAATGTTTGCTTATTCACCCTGGTATGGATTGCCCTTAAGAATAGCATATTTATTATAAGCACCACTAAATATGTACATTATATTTCCAACCATCCCCTATGTTTTTAAATAACTAAAATTTCTTAGACAGGTCTGTTTTACATTTATTAACTGAATTGATAAAAATCTGCACTATTATGATGGATTTACTTTTAACAAGAAAAAAGTGTGTGTGTGTGTGTGTGTGTGTGTGTGTATATATATATATATATATATATATATATATATATTATATATATATATATATATATATATATATATATATATATACATACACACATACACACACCCTGTTCCAAATTATTATGCAAATTCTATTTAAGTGTCACAAAGATTAAAGATTTTGTTTTTCAGTTTAACTCATGGATGGCATTTTGTCTCAGGGCTCTTTTGATCACTGAAAACAATCTCGGAGACCTGTGATAATTAGATTGGCAGGTGAGCCCAATTTAAGGAAAAACTACTAAAGGAGGGTGTTCCACATTATTAAGCAGAGCACCATTTTCAAGGAATATGGGAAGAAAAAGGATCTCTCCACTGCCAAAAAGAGTGAAATAGTTTAATGCTTTGGACGAGGTATGAAAACATTAGATATTTCACGAAAACTTAAGCGTGATCATCGCACTATTAAGAGATTTGTGGCTGATTCAGAGCACAGACAGGTTCGTGCAGATCAAGGCACATTGAGGAAGATTTCTGCCAGATCCATGCATCGGATCAAGAGAGCAGCTGCTAAAATACCATTACATAGCAGCAAACAGATATTTGAAGCTGCTGGTGCCTCTGGAGTCCCACGGACATCAAGGTGTAGAGTCCTCCAGAGTCTTGCAACTGTGCATAAACCTTCTATTTGGCCACCACTAACCAATGCTCACAAACAGAAACGGCTGCATTGGGCAGAAAAATACATGAAGACTAATTTTCAAACAGTGCTGTTCACTGATCAGTGCCATGCAACCCTGGATTGTCCGGATGGATGGAGTAGTGGATGGTTGGTGGACGGCCACCCTGTTCCAACAAGGCTGCGACGTCAGCAAGGCAGTGGTGGAGTCATGTTTTGGGCCGGAATCATGGGAACAGAGCTGGTCGGCCCCTTTAGGGTCCCCGAAGGTGTAAAGATGACCTCTGCAAGTATGTGGAGTTTATGACTGACCACTTTCTTCCCTGGTACAGAAGGAAGAACTATACTTTCCGTAATAAAATCATCTTCATGCATGACACTGCACCATCTCATGCTGCAAAGAATACCTCTGCATCAATCGCTGCTATGGGGATAAAAGGAGAGAAAGTCATGGTGTGGCCTCCATCCTCCCCGACCTCAATCCTATTGAGAACCTTTGGAACATTCTCAAGCAAAAGATCTATGAGGCTGGGAGGCAGTTTACATCCAAACAGCAGCTGTGGGAGGCTATTCTGACATCTTGCAAACAAATTCAAGCAGAAACTGTCCAAAAACTCACAAGTTCAATGGATGCAAGACTTGTGAAGCTGCTATCAAATAAAGGGACCTATGTTTCAATGTAACGCGGCCTGTTAAAATGTTTAAAAAGTTAAAATGTTGTTAAAGGTTTGATTGAAATAGCTTTTGATTTCAGTAAATATGCTGCAAACACAACAAATGACAATTTTCAGTTCTTTACAACCTATAAAGTGTTTTGAAACTTACTGTGCGAAATAATTTGGAACAGTGCATTGTAAGTGTTTTATGTTTTAAAAAAAATACTGTTATCATTAGGAGGTTTGTTCAATAAAATGTGAATTGTACTCTTAATAGTTGATAACATGAGAGTTATGCTGACTGTTATTTACCTCAATTATTTAGGTAAATGAGAAAAATATAATTTGCATAATAATTTGGAACAGGGTGTATATGTGTGTGTGAATATATGTATGTATGTATGTATATATATATATATATGTATATATATATATATATATATATATATATATATATATATATACACACACACACACACACACAAAGTATAGTGTAACACCACTTGTTTTATATGTTGTTAGAATATTTTTTTCTTATCGCCCGCAGACTGACAGCCACCTGAAACATTTTCTGCACATCATTGAAGATAAACCAGTTTACCCTGTCATATATGATAGTAATGAGATTCTACTCTCCATGCCACCTATTATCAATGGTAACCATGTTTACATCCTAATTCCTGTAAGATTTGAAAAGTAGTTTAAAACTGGAAACCTGTACATACAGAAATGTATACGTTTTAATTGCTGACCCCTTATGAAAATGCCAGTTGCCTGGTCACGTGTGGCTTCAGTCCTTTCAGTATTACTAACCTGAAACAAGCATGCAGATTAGAAAAGTCAGTGGAGATCTGATAATTTGCTTGCTTTCAGGTCAGTGACTCAAAGTACAGAAGCCATTGGGCTAAGTAGAGAACTTGCATTTTTTTAAAGAAAAAGTCACAAGTGACAGAAAACTGTATTCTATAAATAACTGCACTGCTTGTCTTTTTATCATGCAGCCAGTTTAGCCTTTTTTCCTCCCTAGGTTAGATGATTACACCAATTGTAGCGAGGGTTGGATTTAACCATTGAGCTACAGGATTTCAGATCGAAACTACCAATTAACATATGTGCTGAGAGTCCTCCTAGGACATGTTGATAAAAGACACATTCATTGTTATGCCAACTTTTTTCTGTCCTCATAATTTAGATTTGCTTTTTGTCTCTTTCAGGGGATCACACAAAAATCAGCTTGAATACTCATAATGTCTTCATAGAATGCACTGCCACAGATCTGACAAAGGTGATGGAGAGCTCAAATTTCTGTTACTTACAAGGAGAAATATAGGAACTGTAAGACTAAGTTTAGTGTTTTGGTTGGGGAGGCATAAGAAATGCGCTGTTGAGCCACCTCCCAACCGTTCCCCCTTAAGTTGCAGTGGACACGGGTCCATGGTCACAATACTTCAGACTTGCGGCAAAATCTACCTAACATGTAGCAATCAGCTGGTGGCAAGCCCTCCGAATGTGCCACATTCAGGGGAATGGGGAAGCGCTGCAAACGCCCTGCAAACATCTGCAGTACATACGTTTGCGATGCCTTTGTCAGCAAAAATGGTGTTAAAATAGGTGGTAAGGAGGTGTCATATCACCTCACTGCCTGTCAATCGCTTTTGAAGCACGTAATGGGCTTCAGATGAGAGGTAGAATTAGACTTGCCTAATTTCTGACCTTGATCTTGTAAATGCTTGCTACATACCTGTTCTGCATTAGGCAGTAAATCAGCATGTCAGCCAGGAGTACAGCAAATTTCAATAATAGGTCAGTAATGGCAGAACTGGGGATTTCTCTTACACCAGGTTTCTTTAAAACTGGCCACACACATTTCAACCTGTACAATCTTCTTTGGATTTTTAAACCATTATGGATGCCCTTGTAACGAGTTAAGTCTCAAAGACTTACCCCACCTTTTGCATCATGTTACATGTTACAGCTGCATTTGGGGTGTAGCATGTTGCTGTGCAACTCCCCCAACCCCCCAGATTGCCAGTCCCCCATGACAGCTTGGTTCTTCTCCCCCACAGATGCTGTCACTTTTGAAATCGACACTCTTCAGTCATTCACCCACAGTCCTGCCTACCACTGCGGCCCTTCTCAATGGAATGCAAGTGCAGTAATCAGCAAATTCCTAGCCCATTGACACTTCCTCCCACATTTGTACTGAAAGCTTGTTCCTAAGTATGGACAAGGAAGATGGAGGAAGAATCTGAAGGAGCCTGGCATTGCACCTGCGATCAACTGATAAGGGGTGTAATGCGTTGCAGGCTCCTGTGAAAAAAATAATAAATTCATATTTTTTTTCCTGCAAATTCCTGTGCATTCATTTTTTTTTTTTTCAAAGGTGCGTTTAGGCTTTATTAACATTGCACATAGTTTCTACCAATAAATTCTAATATGCATAGCTTTATATACCTATTTGTACAGTAAAACTGGCGATGAAAACAGTGACAGTCACATTCCTTATTTCATGTTCTCTGGAAAGAAAAGATAAAACATAATATGTCACTATAAGCAACAATTCTGCTTTTGCAAACATTTTAATTGTGTTTTTTCTAAATAGCCACCCTATTCCTGCTGTAGCCACCTGTAGATTTCTGTCATTCAGCCTTGTAGGCCAAAAGGGAGAAATTTGGCGATTTATTTATGTATTTATTTTTTTCTTCCCTATCTATGCTAAATGACGTGCATGGAGGAATCTGCATTGTCTGCTATTGTTTGCGGCAGCCGGATCTGTCTGAATACCCAAACAGTGCCTGCATACAATAGGATGTAGTCACACTTCCTCCAACAAATTTCAGTCCAACACAGTCGATTTTTCAGTCCACTTTTGTCAAACTGAGTGCCATCCATGGCTCTAAATTTGGTTGATTTAGCAGGAATTTGTCTAAAATTTAAGCCATGTTTGTCTACCTTTTAATGTTCACAAATATTTGAACAGAATGCTTATTAAGCTATATATTAAATTGGATTAATCTTTCATATTGTATAGGCTAAAACAGTCCTGGATATTATGGTCACTATGTTCAGCGAATACTGCGATGAGCCCTTCACGTGAGTAAAATATGCCAAAGGATTTCTTAACCCAATTTAGACTTCTGTTACTTTTAGCTAATTGTGAAATATTTGTACAAAGCCTCGTCAGCAGTTTGTGGTGTGATTTAGGCAATTCCACTCCCCCTGACAGATCTCTGAGACGCACAGACAGCTGCAATAACCAGTTCTAAAACACTAAGGAGAAGAGCAGTTGTGTCAAATGTCAAAAATAAGTTACAGGCCAAACAAATGTGCATCTTACTGGAAACCCTGTTAAAATATTGAAAATTTTGCATGCTTAATGGATATGGTAACAATGTTGACTTTATGTTTAAAATATTGCAGTTTTGTTCACTCTTCCCACCTGCAGCTAAACCCACAAGTTACACAATATCTACCCATTTTTTAGGAAGTATTATGCTTACAGTGCCTTGAAGAAGTATTCATACCCCTTTAAATTTTCCACATTTTGTCATGTTACAACCAGAAACGTAAATGTATTTTATTGGGATTTTGTGTGATAGACCAACACAAAGTGACACATAATTGTGAAGTGGAAAGAAAATGATAAATGGTTTTCCAAATTTTTTATAAATATCTGAAAAGTGTGACGTGCATTTGTATTCAGCCCCCTTTACTCTGATATCCATAACTAAAGTCTAGTGGAACCAATTGCCTTCAGAAGTCACCTAATTAGTTAAATGGAGTCCACTTTGTAATTTAATCTCAGTATAAATACAGCTGTTCTGTGAAGCCCACAGAGGTTTGTTAGAGAACATTAGTGTACAAATAGCATCATGAAGGCCAAGGAACACACCAGACAGGTCAGGGATAAAGTTGTGGAGACGTTTAAAGCAGGATTAGGTTATAAAAAAAATATCCCAAGCTTTGAACATCATCCGAAACTGGAAAGAGTATGGCACAACTGCAAACCTACCAAGACATGGCCATCCACCTAAACTGTCAGGCTGAGCAAGGAGAGCATTAATCAGAGAGGAAGGCAAGAGGCCCATGGCAACTCTGGAGGAGCTGCAGAGATCTTCAGCTCTGATGGGAGAATGTGTCCACAGGTCAACTGTTAGTTGTGCACTCCACAAATCTGGCCTTTATGGAAAGGTGGCAAGAAGAACGCCATTGTTGAAAGAAAGCCAAAAGAAGTCCCATTTGCAGTTGTTGAGAATCCATGTGGGGGACCCAGCAAACGTGGAAGAAGGTGCTCTGATCAGATGAGACCAAAATTGAACTTTTTGGCCTAAAAGCAAAGCACTATGTGTAGCAGAAAACTAAGACTGCACATCACCCTGAACACACCATCCCCACCGTGAAACGTGGTGGCATCATCATGTTGTGGGGATGTTTTTCTTCAGCAATGACAGGGAAGCTGGTCAGAGTTGATGGGATTCATGCTTTCTTTTTTCATTCCTGAGAATGATTAGTGTATGCACGTCTGTCAGCTAATCATGCCTAATTAAGCACTGTGCAGGCACTGTTACTTCCAGCCTTGTCTTGGGCACAAAATTGGAATGGCACTGGCCCCAATCACGTTTGATATTTTTTAGAAAGAGAAAGTCTGCAGAGGTCTACAAGTGCTCATAGAGATCATCTGCTCATCTCTCAGTCCAGCCTAATCCACTGCAGTGCTGACGGTGGCCTTATGCAAGCTTTACTAATGTGCATCATACATACCTGGACACTTCATGCATATTGCTCTGTTATGTGGATTATAATATGTACTGCACCACATGTCCAGCTTTTCTTTTGTACTGTATTTCACAGGTTTTAGTTATTTGTACCTGTTTGTTTGTTTACAGTGTTGAAGCTGTTGAGGTTATTTATCCAGATGGAAAAAGCCATTTCTATCCGGTAAGAGGTCATTCTGTTAGGTGGACATGTTTTAGCCTTGTGCTAATATAATCTGAAATCTCTCTAATACATGACATCATCAAATGTATTTATTAGAGAGATTACAATTAGCAGCAGGGGCACTCACTTTCTGCACCTTGCTGCAACTGACCCCTGTGGGAGTTTGGCTGTCACTATTATTTATCCCAAAATACTTGTGTTTGCTGTATCCTTGATATCTCTTCATTTTCTTTCTGTTATACTGAACATGTATTCTTTTTTATCAACTTCCCTTTTTATTATTTTTGCTCATTATTATACTCCTTGTAAAATAATTCAGCAAGTTCTTTAACTTCTTCAGTATTTGCCTGTGGGCTTATGATTTTCTCCTGCACTGTCTCCTGGTCAGTAATTCTCCATCATTAATTCCTGTACAGCTGAGCTGTTTTTTTTTTTTTTTTTTTTTATTGCAGGAACTGCCATACAGGAATGAAACTATCTCTGCTGAGAAGATGAACAGTAAGATTGGGATCAAGTAAGAAACATCAGAATTTATTTTGATGTCACATTAGTGTACAGTTAGTATTTAATTTTTTTTTTTTTAAAACAGGAGGCAGATCTTTTCTTTTGTATGTCTTAAGAAAAATGGTTGGGTCCTCAAACGAATTAGGTCATACTATTGTGTACTTTGCTTTACAGATAATTGAATAAATAAGTAAAATAAACAATGTGCGCTATCAATCTTGCAAATCAGCTAATAAAATAGAGCTGCTGCAATAACACTTATAAGGTGATCCCACACTTAAAACATATATAAATAGTGTTGCTCTAACTCATATAAACATAATAGTCCATAAACAGATTCAAATGTGATGGTTCAATCAAAATATGAAATATAAATATAAAGTGCTTGAATGGTGAAAATCAATAAAGTGCTTGAATGGTGAAAAATCAATACGATGTGCTCTGGATAAATAAAGCCTATTTAAAAAAACACAGTGATCCACCTTGACTTAGTGTTCCTTCACCTCAAAATATATATGGATGGCCGCTCACCTCCTACCGTGGACCCATAAATTAATACAGGTAAACCAAGCATGGTAATTCCAAAAAGATGCTAGATGGATGCAGAGAGCTGATGACAGGCACCCCTTCAATGACCGTATAAATGGGAGTCTTCTCAGCTTAGCTCCACATATAGAAAGAACAGAGGACATCTCCCATAGTGTAATACTGTTTTTTAATTTCACATAAAATAGTTCGATAGAAGCAGTAACAGATCGACTTGTAATTTAAAATTCCCACGCCTTAAAAAGCCAGCAATGATGTCACTAGGTTCCGCCCCATGCGGTACACCACCAACCACAAAGCTCTCTGCAGCCATCTAGAGCATCTTTTTGGAATTACCATGCTTGGTTGCCCTCTATTAATTTATGGCTCCAAGGTAGGAGGTGAGCGGCCATCCATATATATTTTTTTAGGTGAAGGAACACGAAGTCAAGGTGGAGCACTGTGTTTTTTTAAATAGACTTCAGTTATCCGGAGCACATCGTATTGATTTTTCACCATTCAAGCACTTATATTTATATTTCATATTTTGATTGAACTATCACATTTGAATCTGTTTATGGACTATTATGTTTATATGAGTTAGCGCAACACTATTTATGTATGATTTACAGTTAATTGCAGTCATATAGGGAACACCCTGAAAAACTTACTTACTTAACCACAACAATAAAGAATAAAAAAAAAATACAAAATGTGCACCAGTTTGCTGCAACAAAATACTAAATCTTTATTCATATACCAAATTTTATCTTATCAAGATAAGCAAATTGAAATAACACTTGAAATATACCTAGTCACATGCAGAAAAAGCCACATTCTATAGAAAGTGGTGTATCCCCAAATGTAATGTTGCACTTCCAACCCATTGAGGTTAATTTACTAAAACCAGAGAGTGCAAAATCCTGGTGCAGCTGTGCATGGTAGCCAATCAGTTTATAACTTCAGCTTGTTCAATTAATCTTTGACTAAAAAAAACTGGAAGCTGATTGGTTTCTATGCAGCCCTGCACCAGATTTTGCACTCTCCAGTCGAGTAAATCATTCCTATTGTCACAGAGTGATGGGCTAACTTAGAGCTTTCTCTCTTATTAGTCCAAACTAATGTATTTATATATTATAGTAGGCTTTATGTGACTTGTATTTGATATTATATTAGTCACCAGAGGCTCAACTCAATGAGGATTCTTGCTTCTAAACCAATGTTTTAACATTTGCCCAATAAACCTCTATCATGTTGCTAATGAGAAGCATTTCAAGGCAACATATTACCAGTTTTGTTTCATATTACTAAACTGCAAATACAGATGTAATATGAACCTCTCATTATATGCCCTGCTGAGTTATAAAAACAAGAACAATTGTTTCAGTGTAGATATATAATAAAGGAACATTCCCATATGGGTGTCAAAGAAGTCAAAATTTCCAGCATTTATAAATAAGTTATGTGTCTCAAAGGGGCCCATGCTTAAGATCCACATATAGATGATTGATCATAGGCAGTCTATTACACAGTTAAAGGGTTATAAGGTCAAATGGGATAATAACCAATTCTCTTATCCTGCTGTAAATGACAAAGATCTTTATGGCCTATAAAGATATATATTCATATGATATCAGTCTATTGCTGCTTCATCATACTCCAATTACAAGCTGGGGGTAGGGAACTGGCATGGCTTTATTAGTTTTAAGAAGAGAACTGAGCTTGGAAGTATGGCTGTGCTATCTGACAGGGCTGCATAAGTTTTAGGATTTGATGGACAGAAATACAAATCTTTTGGCAGGTAGAACTGCTTCCTTGTATGTATTTTAGCTGTGTATATTGGTGTTTGCTTGGAGTTCACAGATTTAATTTTGTTATTTTCTTATTGATAATTTTCTTTACATTATCATGCACACTATGATGTTCAGCAAAAGTAACAGGGGTTGACAAAACCTATAGCTGTGTTATTTATTCTATTTTAATTTTTATTTTGAAGCTAAAAAGCTTACATAAAGTTAAAAGTTTAATTTTTTTTTTGTATATTGAAGGACACGTTTGTGTGTTGTTTTTCAACAGGGAGACACCAGCTAATTTGGCCAAGTTACTCACCCGAATGTGTTTGAAATCGCATGTGTTGGAAGATGGCGATCAAATAGGAATTGAGATTCCTCCAACAAGAGCGGACATTATTCATGCCTGTGACATTGTAGAAGATGCAGCTGTAGCATATGGTTTCAATAATATTCCAATGACCATCCCCAAAACATACACCATCGCTAACCAGGTGGGAAGTCCATCCCTCAGCTTAGCTAATGTTGAGAATCTCTTTGGGTATAAGGAAACAGACATAAGTTGGGTCATTTCATAGTACAAAAAAACATGAGAATATTTGTAATGTGCAGTAATTAGGTTTTTACCTTTTTGCTGAGGTTTTACCAGTGAAAGATGAATCTGATTGGGCATTACCAGATCCACCAATAAATAAGTCTGAATAGGAAACGTTCAGTGGATGATTGGAGGACTGTGGAAGGATTTATGGCATCTCCTCTATTATTATACAGTATTTCTATAGCGCCAAAAAGTTTGCTCAGCGCTGTACATTGTAGTGGGGGGACAGTACATGAGACAATACAGTAACAACACAATACATGAGGGGTTCGAGGGCCCTGCTCTTTGGAGCTTACAATCTAGGAGGGAGGGGATAGTGGTACAGGAGGAAGTGGCTGTGTGGGATGGAGTGGTAGGAGGAGTGGAGGAGATCGGCTGTTAGGTGAGGGCGGGGTAGGCTTCCCTGAAGAGATGGGTTTTCAGGGTGCGCCTAAAGTGAGGAGGGTAGGTGACAGTCTGATGGATTGGGGTAATGAGTTCCAGAGGATGGGGGAAGTCCTGGAGTCGGGCATGGGAGGAGGAGACCAGGGAACTGGAGAGTAGGAGGTCTTGTGAGGAGCAAAGAGTACGGGTTGGGTGGTATTTGGATATCAGGTCGGTGAGGTAGTTTGGGGCAGTATTATGAATAGCTTTGTATGTCAATGTTAGTAGTTAGAATTTTATGCGTTTGGCAATCGGAAGCCAGTAAAGGGAATGACAGAGGGGGGTGGCGGATACGGAGCGGTTGGTAAGGTGGATGAGTGTGGCCGCAGAATTCAGGATAGACTGAAGTGGGGAGAGTCTGTGATGAGGAAAGCCGGTGAGGAGGGAGTTGCAGTAGTCGAGTCGTGAGATAATAAGGGAGTGAATGAGTTGTTTAGTACTCTCTTAAATTACTCTCTTAAATTACCTTCTGTGTAATGCTGGCTGATTACCCTCTGCTTTTTGGTGAATGTATTGATGATTGGTATGTCAGTGCTATGCTGGATGGATAGCAGCAGCTTTCCTTACTTCTATGTAAAATACTTGTATAACAGTTGCATTTTTATACTCTTTTATTTTCATGCTTGTTGTAACAGAAATGCTTATCCCTATTCCCTAGTTTCCCTTAAATAAGCTGACTGAATTGCTGCGACAGGATCTGGCTGCAGCGGGGTTTACAGAAGCTCTGACTTTTGCCCTGGTACGTTCTGTCTTTACCTTCTTGGGCTTTTTTTTTTTTTTTTCAAGATATAGGAGAATATTTAAAGGTATTCACAGTTTGTGTGTCTGTGATGTGATGTTTGTAAACATGAGATACAGTTTAAGGGTTCTTGCACATGAGGTGCTTGAGCCCGTTTATTGTATCTGCAGCCATATTTCCTTCATCCAGGCAGCCCAGGTGCAGCATGCAGCCTGTTGTTAACATAAATGGCTATGTGCCACTGTACTTTTGTATATAATGATTCTGTAGTAATGATTCTTGTGTATATAATGATAATAGTGTTTGCAAAAAAATGAAAATTTCATAATAAAAAGTCACATAAAGTGGTAATAACCCAAAAAGAAAATATAAATATATTGTGACTTACCAATCTTTAAATGCTTCTGCATTAGTTTTTTTTTTCTGTTATTTTTACCTGGTACTTTGGTCAGTAACACACTTTCTGTCATAGAGTGTCTCCACACTGGATGGAGGAGCAAAAGAAACCCCTTTGGTCAGCACCATTGTTAGTCTGGGGACAAGGTAGCGTTGGATGCACTAGCAGATTTAGATGGACATAGACTAACAAATTGAAGCTGAACTCCAGCTAATAATTTGTAAGCAGTTTTAGCAACAGGTTTTTTTTTTTCTTTTTGCGATAAATGTTTTACATAAATGAATAAAAGCCTCTCTGTTAACATTAAATGATTTCCATCCACCCTCTAACTGCTACTTTGTCTGGACAGTTTGGTCTGTTAAAGGAAGAAAAAAAAAAAAAAAAAAAAAATCAGACTTGGGCCCCTTTCACACTAGTGGTTTGATCGGGTCTGCCTGTCCATTTTTCAGGTGGACCCAATCGGAACCTCCAATCTCCTCTATGGAGCGGCAGATGTAAATGGACTTGTGTCCGTTTACACCCATCAACATCCAATCCGATCCGCTAAAGAGAAACGGAAGGGATTCCTTTCCCCTCTGTCTGGGCAGATCAGATTGAAGGGCATTTGGGTGTAAACAGACAGCCCATCCGTTTCCATCCAACTGCCCACAGAGCAGAGTGGGCTGTGTCCGTGTTCGCTCTGCATAACCAGAGAGGACACTGTCCTGTCATCTGGCTTGCTCATCTCTGTTCAGTGGGGGATCAGAAGATAGATCCCCCGCTGAGCAACTAGATTCAAGCTGCTTCCGCCTGGTGTGAAAGGGGACTTAGGGCTTGTTCAAATATTTATCAAAACCGCGCTGTAAATGATAACCACTTATGCCTTTTACAACCCTGCCAGCTGCCAATAAAATTACACTCCTGTGCTCCTCAATAATTACATATTGGGGCCCATTCACACTAGCACTTGGGGAGCTGTAAAACCCTACGTCAACCCCCTTTAGCTGCAGAGGCAGCAGCTTGGAGTGTACACATACCCCTTGTCATTTACAAGTGGATAGGGCTGCTTTGCAAGTGCCCCACAACTGTGGGGTTCAAGGGATTAAAGTATCCAGTGAGGAGACAGTTTTCAGCTTCCTAATTGGCTGACGGGGCTGACGTCATTCCAGTACAGCCGAAGTGTGTTCCAGGAATGCACGCTGAGATGCACATGCACAGCTCAGTGTAGATTCAGTAGAAAACTGCAAACAGGCAGGTAAGTTTGTATTATTGGGAAGAGACATGGCATGTCTCTTCTGCAATAAAAAGCTGTCTACTCACATTTTTCTAAAAGTTAGGTTTATTTTCACTTTACTGAATCAGTCTAATAAGGGTATAATATTGATTATGTTGTCCCTAATTCATCATTCTTTCCTGTATGACAATTGTATTTCATGTCTTGTGCCTGCAGTGCTCAGTGGAAGACATTGCTGATAAACTGAGTGTTTCTGTCTCATCCACCAAAGCAGCCCACATTGCAAATCCCAAGACTGCCGAGTTTCAGGTTAGTTCTGTTTGAGCAATGTCGGCACTTTTCTCTTTAGTTCATTCTTCTAAAACCAGAAATGTAGCCTTGGGCGTATAATGAATTTGTGGGTGAGTGATAATCTATATTGCGGGTCTGTATATATATTTTGCTTTCTATGGTTGCAGTCAGTTTTTAAATGAAATTTTAGACTTAAAGGGAAAATTCAGTGTATTTTCATTGAATAGATATTTTGGGTATTGCAGTAAAAATAAAGAGCAGATGCCTGTATCCCGTGCTGTGTGTTGTTGGCTCTGTCCCATGCCCATATGTCACTTCTATGACCTGTAGTGACACAGGAACCAGCAGGTGACACCACAGTGCTATGGAGAATGCAAGATTCCACCACACTGGAAAGGTGACATAGTTACCAGCAATGTGGCATCCATGAGCTCCCCTGTTCACGCCGACATCTTTGCTCAATCTTTCTAGGGTTTAGCATCTTCAGCCATTGTGATTATTCTCCAAATACAGAAAGGTTTCTTCACAGTAAGAGCTATGAAAATGAGTTGGTTCAGGCCAGCTTAGTGGATTGCTTTAATAAAGGCCTGAATTATTTCCTAGATACACAGAATATAACTGGATACTAACATTTATAGGTAAAGTTGATCCAGGGAATATTCGATTGCCTCTCGGGGGATTAGGAAGGGATTATTTCACCTGCAGGAGCAAATTGGATCATGCTTTGCTGGGGGTTTTTTTTTTGCCTTCCTCTGGATCAACTGTGAGTATAGGATTATAACTTGTATACATACACTTACATACATATTTTTTTAACATTAGGATTGTAGTTTTGTATAAAAGTTTTTTTTCAGTTTAGTCTTTTGAGGGAGCGCTCTATGCAATTATGCAATGTAAATGTTCACATAAGATAACTCACAGGGAGTGCATTGCTTTCCATTAGTTCATGACTTATACACTTGCACATCTTGGGAGCAGTAAAACACAACTACTGCAAAGCAGATCCTGCATTTATACATGCATGTACACCGTGTACTGATTTTTTTCATGTTTAAATTAAAAAAAAACAAAAAACTATGAACAAAGAATTTAAACTATCTCTAAAGATGACCCAATTCTACCTCAGCTAAGATACCCAGAATGTGTACTTTAGGGTCTAATTCAAGGGTTGAGTTACTTATTCTATTAGGTTCAGCCACCACTACCATCCAAAAGTATTGAACGGAGGGACATGACCACACCATATGGAGAAAGGTGCCTACAGAGGAATGATCATCTGCTGGAGGGGTCAGCTGAAGGAGGCATAGTGGCCAACTGTTGCAGGGTAAAATGGGCTCTGTGAAGAAACATTAGCTGTATAAACCTATCTTGAGCAGAAATTTTAGTGGCTCATACAAGTATCCCAGTCTTCCTCATTCACTTCTGAGAAATCAACATGCCATTTCCGGTATGTGTGATTTGACGTGGTTGCATAAGCCAGGGAAAGTCTAAGGTATAACAAGGAAAGTGGTTTCTCCATAATGCTTGAAGTTGGCAGTCTTTCAATAGGGTCAGACTCTAGAGTAGTAGGAGCAGGGAATTGTGCCTAGACTGTATTTCGCAACTGCAAACACCTTAAAAAAAGAAAAAGAAAAAAAAAAAACCCTATCCTATTCGGAAGATTATATTCAGTTCTAAGATCGGAAAACCCAACATAATATGCTTAAGGCCCACCACCCCCCATGCCTTTCACAGTTGTGGATGTGGGATACTTTGCAACTGTGGAAGGTTAGGTTTGCCCCACAGGGTATATGTGAAGAGAAGTATTTTGCTCTGGCCTTATGCCATACCAAATGAGAAGTTTTCATTAGATTGGTAACAGCTGGAGGAGACCATCTTAGAGGGGAAGTAGAAAGTGTACATAGAAAGCTGGCTGGTGAGGTATCTCTTTGGCAGGGTTTTTGAAACAGATGAGTGATGTTGTAAAGCCTGAAAAAAGGTCATAAATTGCCCTTTAATCTCACTCTGTATGAATGTATGTGCAATGGATGCACTCAATAGCACCATTTTGGTTGCCCTCTTCCTCAGTATAGCTAGCACAATCACAATGTTTAGGACTGTTACACTAGACATCCCGTTTGCCAGTGCCTCTCCAAAACAAATATGTGTTCATCTCTGTGATGTCAGAGGAAATAACCTGCAAAACACACAGCAATTTAATGAACAGAAAATTGCTTGTCAATGTGCTTTAAAAGGCTTCTTGATGTGCATAAAAATGCACATCAATGGAAGGCAACGCACATCCAATTCTCAAGCATTTTTATGCATTTTATTGCATACACTTGTGAGCAGCCATAAGAATATTGGAAAGTGTTAAAGGGTGGTAGTTAGCTTTGTTGTTTTTTTTTTATTGTTCTTCATTCTATTTCAGTTATGTCATGTGACCATTTTCAGATGCATATAGTGCTTAGTCAAGGTAAAGTTTGTGTTTTGACACTCAGGTTATGTTCAATGCTGATTCTATTGAGATTATGTTTAGGACATTCTTCATGTGAGGGTGAATTTATGTAATCATATAGCACTGTTATGGCAAGCCAAATACTCATGCACGCTACCTGCACAGGAAAACAAGACAATATCAGTGCCTTATGTTATTACAACAGGGCATTGTTTTCCTTTTTTATTTTTTTCATCCTAATATTATTGAAATGTCACAAAGAGAGAGTCATTTCTATGTACCGCAGCTCAGCTGCAATATATATAAATGTACAGACAGGGGGCCCCAGTGCAGTTCAGAAAAGTGCAGACATGCCAGAAGATTCCGTACCTGCGTTCAAGTATAAACAAGGCACATGGTAAACAATTGTTTAATTTGTTTAGTCTTCACACGTGTGTGAACAAGCCCTAACTTAATTTATTGCCATGGCCTGGATGTTAAAAACTATAAATTAAATCTATTTGATTTAATTATTACTGCTGAAATATTAATGTCTGAAAAAATGAGTGCAGAATTGTAAATTCCTCTCTGACATTCTGTTAAATGTTCAGATCATGTAACTAATCTCTAACCTAATCTTGCATCCTCATTGATTAGGTGGCTCGTACAACCTTACTCCCAGGTTTACTGAAAACCATTGCTGCAAATCGTAAAATGCCGCTACCTTTGAAACTGTTTGAGATCTCAGATGTTGTAATGAAGGACTCCTCTAGAGGTAAACATCAGTTAATTATCTTTTACCCAATAGAGAGAGAGATCATGGTCATATTGGCCACACCCATTTCATCTTTCATCACCACCAGCATTGTTATTCCTGTACTATTATGCTTAAAGATGATGTATAGTCACAGCATACTCTTTCATTTTATAACATTAGCATTGTAATAATACTAACAATAGCTATTATTGACAATCCAATATAAGGTTACTTGATAATTGCTGAAAAATCTCCTTTCATGTTGCGAGCGCTGCATGTCTGCTACATTCCCTCCATGCTTTGCACCTTTTCTGCCATTTACATTCAATTTCTAGGGACTACATAACCGTGGTACCTTGCTGCCTGCAATCTGTGATTCCTCTGCTGACTTTGCCTCCTAAAACTCCTCTTCTCAGCAACTCTGTAGTTCAGAAGGCAGGCTCTGTGTGACAAAGCAGTGCCTACGCACAGGGCATAGTGAATACGTGTCACATAATTTATTAAAGTAAATGCATGAGAATCTTCACAAAGTAAACTAGCAAACTTCAAGATCATACAGGTTAAGAAGAGGAACCTCTTAATCTTATTTATAGAAAAAATTTAACTGCAATGTTAACACAAATATATGATTTCTTTATTGTACATCACGGAACACAAAGGATATAATCATTACTCTCTGTGTTGAGCGCCACCTATAGGTGAATGGACACTGGCAGATCAATCAAACAGGAAGTCCTCTCCTATTTAACCCCTCCTATACAGGAAGTACTTAAATTTTTTTTTTGCTGGTGCCTGTAAAATGGATGGTCACTTTTGTGCTGCATGTTCTCTTGGAGCATACTTAGAGGTCCAGAACGGTTCTGCTGAGAATCAAGGACTTTTAGTGGATCTATTCTAAAAGCTGTTAGCCAAAACGGGTGATACCCAAGCCTTGCTGGATAAGGAAAAGAATCCTCAGGGTTTTGGCTGTAATGTGACCTTTTTGGGGTTGAACCCTGCGTTACAGAACCCTGTGCATTTTCTAATGACCAAGGCATTTTTGGCAGGGTGCTCTACAGGTCCAAGGGAGTGGACCTCAGGAAAACATCCTTGAAGGTCTTTTATGACAGAGTCAGCAGTAATGGGTAAAGGTTGGATTCCTGTTATAATTCAGAGTCCTGCAGCGGGAATGGTAAGTTTACATTTGCAGTGTTTCTTTGGTAAAAAAACAAAAACTGACTGTCTGGTCATTCTCTCAGTGGCCACTGAGGGCAGTGTGTTTTTTGGTCTGGCTGGGACGTGCTCTGCGTGCTTAAAAAAGGAGTATTGGGCTGTAGTTTTCTCCTCCAGCCACTAGAGGGTGCTGGGCCGCTCTGTGTAGCCTACTCTTGTGCAATGGAGGCAGGAAGTGGAGGGACAGCCATTTGATTATGGTTGAAGTCACATATGGGCTGAGGGATCAGTGAGACTCCTGAGAAATGAAACAGTATGCTTTTAGGAAGCAAAAGTGGGGCTTGTGCGCATATCTTCGTAATTGCAGAACCTGCATCCCTACATAAACTACATACTTGCATTTGAACTGCATGTTTGCATAAACTGCATGCTTACATGCATACTTGCATAAACTGCATACTTACATGTGTATTTGCATAAACAGCATATGTGCATACCTGCATAAACTAGATACTTGCGTGCACTGCATATGTGTATAATACTGTGTATATACACAGTTATGCATATGTCTATAATCTGCATTCTTGCTTAAACTGCATAAATGCATACTTGTATACCTGCATAACTGCATAGCTGCATGCTTGCATACCTGCTTGATTGTATAACTGTTGACCAACATGGCTATGAACCTGCATCTATGTGGGACTGCATAATTGAGTTTTGGCAAATACAGCGGGTAAAATAAGTATTGAACACATCACCATTTTTCTCAGTAAATACGTTTCTAAAGGTGCTGTTGACATGAAATTTTCTCCACATGTCAGTAACAACCCATGCATTCTATACATGCAAAGAAACCAAAACAAAAAAGTTAAGAAATTAAGTTGTGTGATAAAATAGAATGACACGTGGAAAAAGTATTGAATACATGAAGAAAGGCAGGTGCAAAAAAGGATGGAAATTCAGGACACCAGCTGAAATCTATCAGTAATTAGAAAGCAATCCTGCCCCTTATCAGTGCAAATTAATATCATCTGGTTCAGTCTCAACTGATGGCCTATAAAAAGGTGTCTTATTACCAAGGTGTCACATAAGAAATATCTCATAATGGGCAAAAGCAAAGAGCTCTCTCAAGACCATCGCAACCTTATTCTTGCAAAACATACTGATGACATTGGTTACAGAAGGATTTCTAAACTTCTGAATGTTCGTGAGCACTGTTGGGGCCATAATTCGGAAGTGGAAAGAACATCATTTGACCATAAACTGGCCATGACCAGGTGCTCCTCTCAAGATTTCTGACAGCAGAGTGAAAATAATTATCAGAACAGTTGTCCAAGAGCCAAGAACCACTTGTGGAGAGCTTCAGAAAGACTAGGAATTAGCAGGTACATTTGTTTCAAAGAAAACAATACACAAAAGTAATACACTCAACCACCATGGCCTGTATGCACGCTCACCATGCAAGACTCCATTGCAGAAGAAAAGCTTGTTTAAAGTTTGCTGCACAACATTTACACAAGCCTGTGAAATACTGGGAGAATGTAGTCTGGTCAGATGAGACCAAAATTGAACTCTTTGGATGCCATAATACACACCATGTTTGGAGGTCAAATGGCACTGCACATCACCCCAAAATGTTGGGATCATCATGGTGTGGGGTTTTTTTTTCAGCATATGGTACTGACAAGCTGCATATCATTGATGGAAGGATGAATGGAAAAATGTATCAAGACATTATTGATAAAAATCTGCTGCCATCTACCAGGATGATGAAGATGAAACGAGGATGGACATTTCAGCAAGACAATGATCCCAAACACAAAGCCAAGGAAACTCTCAATTGGTTTCAAAGAAAGCAGGTAAAGCTGCTGGAATGGCCCAGCCAATCATCTGACTTGAATGCAATAGAAAATCTATGGAAAGAACTAAAGATCAGAGTTCATAGAAGAGGCCCAAGGAACCTTCAAGATTTGAAGACTGTGTAAGAATTGGCCAAAATCACACCTGTCTAATGCATGCGACTAGTTTCTCCATACAGAAGACATCTTGAAGCTTTCATTACCAAGAAAGGATTTTGTGCAAAGTATTACATTTCACAGAGTGTGTTTAATACTTCTACCCTGTGTCATTCCATTTTATTACACATATCTTAATTTCTGAACTTATTTTTCTTTTTGTATGTATGGATTGCATGGATTGTTACCAACTTGTGGTGAAAATTTCATGTCAATAGCACCTTTAGAAATATATTTACTGAGAAAAATGGTGATGTGTTCAATACATATTTTACCAGCTGTATATTTGCTACATTATTTTCCTGTTATATGAGATAAATGGTCCCAGAAGAGGGAGGCAGCCAGGAGGCAGGTGCACCACCCTCAGGTCCAGTGTACTTGGGGGTAATCTGGCAGTGTTCGCATTTCCGGATAGAGCAGTGGTGTCTGGTATCTGGGCCACTGTGTTTGACTTGCATTGCAGCTATTCCCGGCGATGGCTTTGGCAGCTGCAATGGACTGCAGCTGCATCTCCCTGAATGCTCCTGATCTCATATGAGCCCGGAAGCTAAGCATGGCCTGTTTAGTACTTGGACTGGAGACTGCCTGGGAATACCAGGTGCAGTAAGCTTTTTCCGAATTGCCAGAGGGATCTGTCCCTGGGTTATTGCAGAGTTCAAATGTTTCCTTCCAGTGATAAGGAAGATGGTAACCACTGATGCCAGTCTCTCTGGTTTTTGCGGGGCCAGAGGAGAGAATACTGACCATTAATATCTTGGGACTTTGGGCAGTACACCTTGCTCTGGATTATTGGACGAACCAGTGGCACAGGTTGTGGTCAGGGTTCAGTGCAACAATACCAGGGTCTACAACAAGTTGGACAAGTGGTGTCCAGAACGAGAGTCCCACTGGCAATAAGGGTAGATGCACTGGTAACACTTTTGGGACCAGTTCTCCCTAATCTATGCTTTTTTCCTGGTTCAACTATTGCCACATCTTTTGTGCAGGATTAGGGAGGTGGTAATACTGATAAAAGTGGTAGCCCAGCCTAGCCCAGGAGAGCTTGGTACACCAGTGAATCTGGCAGGGGACCCTCCTTGAGCACTTCCAATCCAGCCAGACCTATTGTCCTGGGTCCAATAGTGTATCCTGCTTTACAGTCGCTAGGATTGAAGGCTTGGCTATTTAAGCCCAGGTCTGGACAATCCTGGGGGTCTTGGGTCCTGTTTAGTCCACAATGTTGAGCCCCAGGAAGCTGGCGTCAGGGAGCTTCCATTACAGGACCTGGAAATCTTATTTTCGTGGTGTGAAACTATGAAGTGGCACCGTGGGAAGGTGTGATTAGCAGGTTTTGTCCTTTCTCCAATCAGGAGGGGAAATGCAATTGGCCTTAAGTACCATTAAGGGTCAGATTTTAGATCTATCCATTTTTTTACAGAGACTGTTGGTTTCTCTCTCCTTGATTCACACTTCATGCAGGGTGTAATGCGAACAGTCCCACTTATCAGGCCACCCTTGTGTCCTTGGGACTTGAACTTGGTCTGGGCTGTCCTTGCAAAAGCCACCTTTTAAACTACTTCATGAGACTCCATTAGTCCTTTGACTCAAAAGGTGGCTTCTTTGGTTACTATCACTTCAAGAAGAGTGTCAGCTGGTGGCTCTTTCATGCAAGGAGCCGCCACTCTTGGTCTTGCTTAAATAGTTTCTAGTTTTCACTTGAATCAGGACAGTGTCTTGTCTTTCTTTTTTTCCTTGTCCATAGTCAGCAGGGGACAGATCGTTGCATACTCTGATTGTAGGTTGGCCGGTCAGGATTTTCTTGAGTTTGTCGGCATAGGTTAGGAATCCTGGTTTGTACTGCCAGAAGGG